TAATAATAATAGCAACAACAATAATAATAACAATAATAATGGTAAAGTTCCTCTGGTCTCTGAGGCATCTTCTTGCAGTGTCCATTGGTGAAGCCCGCAGCCAGGAGCTTCCCGTCGGGGGAGAATTGGAGTCTGCAACAAGGGTCAATCGACTCAAGTAGCTCTGGCAACTCCTCTCAAGTGGAGTTGAACTTGTCGGGCGCACATGTGCGGAACAAGCTTCTCGAAGATCTTCACCAAGTGCAAAGACCTGACATCCAGAGAACCCTCCGCACGGTATCTTATCTGCCTCTCTCACAACTACTGGCCTGGTGTTGTAGTTCCACATGTGAAGAAAGCCCGAATAGCCTGAGACCATGGGATGAACCAACAGCCAGAGACACGACAGAATGTCCCGGCGCCGCGCCACAAACGGCCACCAAGGGTAGCTGCGGGTGGCAGCAGAGCCCATGCACCTTGGTTTTGGAACCCTAAATTCTTAACCTAAACCCTGAAACCTAAATCCTAAACCCTGCACCCAAAACCCCTGAACCCTAAACCCTAAACGCTCGAAAACCCACAGAGGGACAGGATTTCTGCGATGCTCTGAGGCCCTCGCTGGAGAGTCGAGCCCTTGAAGAACTAATCTTCCTCTGCGATTCTCCTGCATATTACACTATATTATTGTACTGTTTAGCACGTGAAGGTATATTACACGGATATTATCGTGTACTGTGGCACATAATGCTAGACTGTTAAGTACGGATTTTACGGAAGTAAAGCACTATCAGCTTTTCTGTACTCGCCGAAAAATGACTGTGCGGCATGAGCAGAGATCACGATGAAGCCTGGCCGATGCTACAATGTGTCTGCCGACATGCTGATGCCAGTCACACCCCAGCTCGCAAGAAACTCGCCCAAAAAGCAATGCACAGTCCGGAGAAAGCTCATAGAACAGCTTCGACTCCACCAGCACGACCAAAGCAGAGCCTCACGGGCCGAGGGTCAAACCCAGCTGCAAAGCCAGGGTCTAGGGGTTTAGGGGTTTAGGGGTCTAGGGTTTATAGGTTTAGGGTTTTAGGGTATAGGGTTTAGGGTTTAGGAAAACCCTGCTTACCTGTCAAACATCGACCGGAGTCCTTTTACCTCTCCACCGATGGTGAATCTGCACCCGGCAGATGCCCATCCGCAACGTCTTACGCTCCCGGTCCATCTACCAATTTGTCAATACATGAATCCACGACCTTGTGCATGTACAGCATAACTTTGACAAGCCGATTCCACAAAAATCTTGATCAGCTATCGGGCATATCAGCTGTCCAGCCGCCCAACGAACCAGGTCGTCAGACAGACACATAAACACAAGCATGGATGCGAAGTAACATTCATCAGGTCAAACCTTGACTATGTAAGCTACACGAAAGTGCAGTATGTTACTATTAATCTATCCTCTCGACTCAGTTATACCAACTTGCAGTTAAACAAACCAGGTTATAACTGATAATCCAATGCTTAAACAGCGTTTGATGCTCTTTGACCACCCTGTGTTTTGATCCACTCCATGTGATGCCCCCCATGGTACATACTTAATAACGAAGCACAAGCTCACATGTCTATGTACTTATAGATTTCGTGAGAAGGCTTTTAATTTCGTTTTAATTTTGTGCTTGTTTACTTGTGTGTAAAAAGAGATATACATATAGATATATCATCCCCAGGTCAGCATAGACATATTTACGTACATACATATGTGCATACATACATACATACATACATACATACAGTTTGTATGCATGCATGCATACATATATATATATATGTACGCATGCCCATTGATGATCAGGCATCTGTTGTGACACTCTCTTCTTAAATGCTTTCCACATACATGAACATACACATACACATATGATCACACACACACGCACACCCCCCCTTTCGCCCCCCCCAAGATCCACACCCGCCGCTAAACCGTGCTGCTATACGTCGCGTTCTTGATGAGGCGCCGAAGCTCGGCCCCAGATTTGTGACAGTCTATAGTGTTGGAGAAGCTGAAAAAGCTGGCAGCTGTGCCATTTCTTAATGTGGTACTAAAACCCTCGGTTTTTTGCGTTGTCTAGTGTTTTCGTGTGTCTTATTTAACAACTGTTCCTTTATAACAAAAACGCTTTATTCTCTGATGAATATGTCTGTGTAGGTGGGCCATCTCTTTCCCGCTGCACGTCAAGTGTCCGATTGCGCTTTTGCCTGATGGGGCCTAGTGGCTCTAGCGTTTGGTTCACGAATGAATGAGAAGACAGAGAGAGCTCCTTCATCTTCAATTATAAATGAAGGCAGCCGAATACAAGAGCGCTTTTGTTTTGAGTCCCAACTCCAATAGCTGCTCTTTGCTTCATAGGAAATGGGACCACGCCTCTGTAAGTGAAATTTCATTTGCATATGAGGGCGCATAAGAAGGCTCCTCGGCGGAAAGACGTAAGAGAGCTCCTTCAACCTTCCAAAGGTGAAGCTGAACTAAATACGGCTGGCTCCCTTCAAAAGTATCAATGGGATGCCCAGGGCCTCCTCCTTATCCGTGTAAACCAAAGTAAGATGGCATTTTATCGAAGAAAGCTCCTCTTCATCTTGTGACAAGCTCTATGGGAGCCTTTGAAAACAGCCATGTGCATAGCAATCGCTATCTGTTGTCGAGGATACAAAACGGAAGCAAAAGAAGGCTAATTTGGTGCGCATCTGCATTTTTGCCTGCAGCATCGGCACAGCGAGCTGCACGACACCCTGCCTGTGCTCACCAGAAAGTTGGGGCACTTGAAGTCGTCCTCACAGGCCACCGCAGTGACAGAATCTCAGAAGCGGCACGGGAAACACTGACCTTCACTCTTCTACATCGCTATTAAAACTACAGCGTCCTCTACACCGACACCAGCGCTGATTCCTGTGGGCTCATAGTCCTGCACGGGGCACCGTGCAGCACGCACACGATTCCGGCGTCTGCGTGCAGATCAAATGGACCTTCTGTACTTAACGCTAACATCGAGCTTGTCCAGAGAACACAGTCAGCTTCTAGCATTGTAGCATGGGCAATGAGCGACAATGCTACAAGTGGTGCTCATGCTGGTACACTCCTCTGCATCCTCGTTGGCCTTCTCAAAAGAGATGGATTTCACAGATCCAGCCAAGAGGTCTTCGAACCATGCTTGGACCTCAGCGCAGCATCCTTGAGACGCAGATGCCCTCACATGGTCAAACATTGCCATCACAAAAAAAAGCAAAGAGCTCCAAAGCAAAGGCCTTTTGTCCCTTGGCTGCAGCGCTGGTCACAAGCTAGCTTTCCGATCGCCCAATGAGGCAGATCTCGCGCATGGGCACCTTGAGCGCCCACTGGGATGCCAAGCAGTCCTGACTGAAGCCCATCCAAAGCACGCTCGCGTCTGGAGATCAGTTTCGTGCGAGACGGTCTCGAGGTCCACTGCAGCTTGAAGCTTGGGGGAAGCTCGCGTTGAGCGGCTCTGAAGAGTGCGAAGGCATCAGCCCGTCCATCGGAACGTGTAGAGGTAGATCTCGTCGTCCGGATCTGCCCAAAACCAGCACAAGCAGACTCAAGACATCCAACGAGCTCTGCAAACTTCTACTACTAAGTGGCCTCCAAGTTCCTCGTGGCACACCTCCATGCCCACCTTCACTCAGTCAGCTTCAGAAAGCTCACCAAGAAAAGGCAACCCTAAACCTCGAAACTTCCTGCTTGAAAGGGCATAATACTCTATAAGTTCTGATTATGTACTTATGGGTAGTTTTCTAAAATTAGGTTCCCTTTTTCGGTCCCCAATATAGTACGGCACCCTTATAAAAAGGACCCTAAAAGGGACCCTACTTTAGAGAACTACACATATGTACTATAACACATGCTGTAATGCAAAACAGTTGACATTCACTTACTCGAACATACAACAGCATACTAGAGTAAACTAACATGTACTCATATGTACTGCAATTTACTGAAACATACTACAATATATGATAATATACGATCATATACGATACTATACTATAATATACGGTCATACACTATAATGTACGATATATGCTATAACATACGATAATATACGACAATATACTAGTATATACTATGATATACTACAATATATCTATAATGAACCATAACAGTACTATAATATACTCGAATATACTAGAACATACTCTAATATACTAGAATATACTGTAATATACCATAATATACTATAATATACTATGAAATACTATAATATACTATAATATACTATAAGGCACTATAACGTACTATGATAGACTACAGTATAATATGCTGCAAGATGCTATCAATTACTGTCCTACAGTAGGTCCCCGGCTTCCTCGGCCCAGGCGATGAAGTTTCCAATAGACTCCCAGTCCTCCCGAAACTCGAAGGCCAGAAGGAGCCTCTCAGGGCTTTTTTGGGAGGCTTTTGGGGTTTAGGGTTTAGGGTTTAGAGGGTTTTAGGGGCTTTTTGGGGCTTTTAGGGGCGTTTGAGCCTTCCAGGGTTTAGGGGTTTTGGGGTTTTGGGGTTTAGGCGCTTTGGGAGTTTCGGGGTTTACGGGCTTTTGGGGCTTTGGGGGCTTTTGGAGTTTCGGGGTTTAGGGGCTTTTGGGGCTTTTGGGGTTTAGGGGCTTTTGGGGTTTCGGGGCTTTTGGGGTTTGGGGGCGTTTGGGGTTTAGGGGCTTTTGGGATTTCGGGGCTTTTGGGGTTTAGGGGCTTTGGGGGTGTTGGGGCTTTTGGGGTTTTGAGTTTATTTTTCTTATTTAAAGCCCTTTTTACCCCCCAAAAGGCACCTTTGAGGGCTGATTCGGGGCTTAAGGTTTAGGACTTGAGCGGGATGAAAAAAACCCATGAAACTAAGCTTTCAAAGACCAAGCCCTGATCCCAGAGCCCCAGAGCCGAAGGAGGCTTAGGTATAGACTTCCTCATTCTCTCTGTGCTTTGCCTGGTGGCAATTTGAAAAAGGCCGTACCATGTTTCTTCCTGAGGCTGCTGCTTCCGATTGGGCCCTGCCACCGTACTGTTCGACCAGGCTCTACGATGCACGGTAGATGTGGCTCTCTGTTAAACACAATGCTCCTGCTAGATGGATTGTTACGTTACACGGGGTGGTTCGTCCACAGGGTTTCGGTTGTAGACATCCATAAGTATTCTGATTTCAAAGCGGTTTTGCCTGGCTTGGCCTTAACCTCCACATTCGTCATAGAACCCCTGCTGAACCTTTATAACAACGTAAATCCCCTGCAAAGCTCATAATGAGACCCCCGTTTAGAACACGCGTTGTTCGAACCCCTATAGAGGCCCTTATAAACAAACCCTGTAGCCCCGTATCAGAATCCTTACATTCAGACCCTTATTAGAACCCCTATGGAAAAACATAGAGCCCCTTAAACCCTAAACCCCGAAACTCGAAACCTTAGAGACTCCCTCATAGGAACCCTTAAAGGAATATTTACAGGACTCTGATAAACGCTGCCTGGAATCAGTGGAGCGAGACAGGAGCGCCCTGCAGCTTTCGAAGAGCTTGTCCTGCTGCGTTGCGCTGTAGATTCTGGGATTCACAGTTCTGGGGCTAGGGTTCAGGGTTTGCGGTGCATTATCGGATTTAGGGTTTAAGGATTTAGGTCTGCGGAGGCCTAGGGCCGTTTAGGGTTGAAATTTTGAGAAGCTTAGGGTGTCAGGCAGCGCACTTCGCGTGTCCAGCTCGAAAGATGAAAGGATGATGTCACTCCCGACAAGGAGATCGAAGCCGCTGGGATGACCTGCAGCAGGGCACTTGCAGTTGCCGCGGCGATGGCACGAGAATTCTTGGGGCTGTGAAGGCAAGAGCCTTCCAGGATCCGGGCGTGATCCTCTGCCAGACCCCACTCCAGCCTGCGCAGCGGGTTTAGGTCACACAGAGTCGACTGACTGGTTCTTAGTAGGGAATGGGGGAATGGGCTATTGGGACTACTCTAGGGGGCCTTAAGAGACTATCATAGGGATCCATTCCCCCATTCCCTACTAAGAACCAGAATGTCGAGTCACATCACATGACTTGCAGGTGCCTCGAGACGTTCAGGATGACCGAGTCCTGCAGTCACTCTGAGAGTCTATCGCGGAGACTGGGTTTAGGGTTTAGGGTTTAGGGTTTCAGGGTTAGGGGTTTAGGGTTTAGGGCCGGAAAGGAGGATCTGCCCCTCTCCTCGGCGAGCAGGGCCTGGTTCCGCTCCAGCAGGGGCAGCGCCCTCTCGCAGTCCGTGACCAGCACCGGCTTGGCACCGGCGGCAGCGCAAGCCGCACCGACGAGGCCCAAACCCGCCCCGAGCTCCAGCACACTTCTGTCCTTGATCAGCTCGGGATGATCGCAGAGATACTCAGCCAGACGACTGGCAGCCGGCCAGATTACCGAGGAAGTCCCTTGAACGAAATCTCCCGATGTGGCTCCTCGCTGCTCCAGCCGCAGTGGCTTGGAAAGCAGGCCGTGCATGAATTCCACGCAGGGAGCCCGCTGGTTGCATCCGTGGATGGCATCCACGGCCCCTGAATCCATGGGGTTCTCATGACATGCGACAGACCACCCTAACCCGCCTCGGAAGGCCCTTGAGCCCACTTCATGACAGATGCAGGAGCCAGGTCTCTAGCGGCCCGGGGACAGACTCTGAGGCACGGGCCCTGAACTGATAGTCATAGAAGCGGACGGCTCCATCAGCTGTGCCAATAACAACCCGTGCCTCACAGCGCCAGGCCCCACCAACAACAAATACGGAGTCCTTCTTGAGGAATTGATTTGAGATGATTTGAGTTACCATCATAAATAATATGGTTTCCCTATAATGGCAACTTAATTCAAAGTCGCTTACAAGAACCCACATAAAACACACGGAAAGCGATCGAGGCCATGACCTTCTCATGAACCTGAAGGACCTTCAGCCCAGGAAAGCTTTGAGAAAGTTGCTTTCGTGACATGTCGGCCAAGGTATTCGTGGATAACAGACAGCATAAGCTCTGAGCATTTAAGGACACATCTGGGCAAAGCCGGATGATTTTGACGGCCCGTCTCTCATCGGGGCGGCTCAAACCATCTACCTCGGGAATCGGCAAGAGTACGCACCGGGCTCCAAAACTACCGATGTCAAGCGACAGCCACACATCACGAGCACCCGGCAATCAGCGATAGGTCCCATATGACCACGTCACCATCGATCGTCCCTGTGGCAGCCTTGTTCCAGCACGTTTGGGTTCTATCTATGTGTATAAAAAATATACACACACACATATACCACATGCAGACACACATACACATAAACATACAGATACACGTACACATACACGCACACATACACATACACATACACATACACATACACAGACGTGGACACAGATACAGATGCAGATACGGATACAAATAGATAATTAGGTGGATAGATACATAGAAAGATAGATAGATAGATAGATAGATAGCTAGATAGCTAGACAAATAGACAGAAAGATAGAAAGGTTGATGGATAGATATATAGACAGATTGATAAATAGACAGACAGATAGGTAGATAGGTAGGTAGGTAGATAGGTAGATAGACAGACAGATAGATAGATACACCGATAGATAGATAGACCGATAGATAGATGGACAGATAGATAGATACATAAGATACATAGATAGACAGATAGATAGATAGATAAATAGATAGACAGTTAGATAGATAGATAGATAGATAGATGGATAGATAGATAGATAGATACGTAGATAGATAGAAAGCTACATAGATAAAGAAACAGAGAAATACATAGATAGACAGACAGACGGACAGACAGACAGATAGATAGATAGATAGATAAATAGAAATTTAGATAGACAGATATGTAGATAGAAAGGTAGATAAATAGATAGATAGCTAGACAGATAGATAGATAGAGAAAAAGATTGACAGTTAGATAGGTAGATAGATAGATAGGTAGGTAGACAGCTAGATAGATAATTTGGAGACAAGGCCGACCTGGGTGGACTCGGGCAGAAAGATGGTCTGCCTCGGCCGATGTGTCGCACGGATCAGGGATCAGTGGTGGGGCGAGATGATCACGGTTTAGGGTTGGGGATCTCATACACCATAAACCCCAAACGCTAAACGCTAAACCCCAAGCCAAGGACGCTTCTAAAAAAAGAGAACTGCACCTCAGAGCTTAGGCTGAGGGCAGCGGATTTAAGGTATAGGATTTAGGATGTAAGCTGTATGTAGAGTCATATAGGGTATAAGGCCTTGGGAAAGGAGTTTCGGGCCTTTCGGGTTTAGGTTGCCAAGCTGCGTGTAGTCTCCGATCCTCTGCTTGAAGTCTCGAGGCGCCAAAGCCGGCGAGTAGAACTGGGATCGGCTTTTCTTTTCTGCGTTAAAGGGTTTAGGGTTTGCGGTTTGGGGTTTAGGGTTTAGGGTTAAGGGTTTAGGGTTTAGGGTTTAGGGTTTAGGGTACTACCGTAGGATACTGTTATGGAGTACTTCTATAGAGCAGTGCTACAGTGTACCATTGTCGGATACTGGCATAGGACACTATCAAAGTGTTGTAGATCTTGTAGTATGGGAGTTAGGATTAGGGGATAGAGACCCGCTCAATAAGGTCCCTTTTAAGAGAGCCATAAGTAGGGTGAAGAAGGGTCCCCTTTAAAGGGTCTCCCTAATCCTACCGAGGAGTAGTACCTCTTGCAGTCGCCCTGTAAGCAGCTGCACAACGTGGCCTGGAAGGGCTGCTCCACGTCCCAGGTCCAAAAGAACACGCGGCGCTTCCCTGGAGCCAGATTTTGGGTAGGCTTTTAGGGTTTAGGGTTTAGGGTCGTACGGGTTTAGGGTTTGGGGTTTTTGGGGGTTCAGGGCTTAGGACTTGGAAGTCTTCCACAAAGGCCGCAACTTGGGTCCGGACCGTTGGTTGCGATCTCGTGCGTGTCCCATGCATTGAAGAGAACACAAGTTTGCACATCCTCACGAAAAACGGATGACAGAAGCAGATAAGGTGAAATTCCAACTTGCCTCATTTCCTTCACAGGTGGCTCCGCAATGCACCGGTCCTGCGTCCCTACGGCTGCAGTGCAAACTGGACCGTCGTTGTCGGACGGCCAATCCCACACGGAGATGGTCTGATAGTCCTGGCTGGCAGCACACCGCAACAGGGCTCAGAACACAAGGGACAGGAGTCTTTTGAAGCCAAAACCCTACACCCTAAACATTCCTCCAGAACCCTAAACGTCAAAACCCCCTTCTGAAAACCCGAACGGCCCAAACTCCAGAATTTGGCCCAGGTCTCCCCGCAGGACCGATGTCCCGGTAGGGCGTCGGCCTACCCTAAACCCTAAACCCCAAAAACCCCCAAGACTCCCAAAACCCCTAAATCCCCGAAAGCCCCTAAACCCCTCAGAGCCCCAAAACAAACCCCTAAACCCCCCCAAAAAACCCCCTCCAAATCCCCTTAAAGAAACCCCAAAGAGGCCCCCTCAAACCCCCTCAAAGCTGACACCGAGCGCCTGGGACTCCCCAGTCTCTTTCTGGCTCTTGCCATGCTCCG